AATAATTAGACTTGTGCAAATTTAATTTTAACACGATTTAGATGTTTCTACAAATTTACAGTTGTAAACACGTTGTTAATATTTAAAGAATGAAGATTGTAAAGATATTTGTTTTCTCTATTAAAAAATATGGTCACCTAGAGTGCAATTACTTTACTTTTTGATGTCGATTTAATTAAACGAATTTATGGAAAAAAAAACAATGAAAAATCAAAATTTAGTTTCACGAGGATTAACGCAGCTATGTATTTATTACGTGTAGCAGTAAGTATTCCACTATATTTTGTCAAATTTAATTCTCATCTTCTTTTCACCGCCATATTTAAGGTGCTGAATACCATGGCGGAAATCAATGACCAGCACTCAACGTACCCACGGACCCTTACAAGGGTCATCGATCTTCAATGATGTCAAAATAAATTGAAACACTAACATCATACAAACGGCAACACTTGTAAGCTTGTCCATGCCATTAATATTGTAAGATAAACCGACAGCCTCCAGCAAAATAAGTATACAAAATATGATAACATAGCCTGATCCAATATTTTTACATTATATTTCATTTTTCTGTACTATGTTTATTAGAGAATCCACTTTAGCATTTCTAAGTAATTCATAATAACGAAACTCGTTTGGCATTCCACGTGTTGATGAAGAAAATGACTAAAAGATATTATCAATTTAAACCATATTATCAGTTGATTAAAAAGAAATAATGATTAACCTCTGGTACACAATATAATACATTTTCGAACCATTTAAGCCGGGTCTACACTATGTAACAAAACGTTGTTACATAGCAAAGTTATAAAACTTGTTAAAAAAGACAGACGAATGTTGTATAGCATTATGTTAAATACCATTTTTCGTGTTATACGTATAGCAATTACATGTTATCCATCAAGTGTGACGCTATTATTAATAATGAGATGAACCTTTAATTTTCTAAGAAAGTATAAAAATATGTGTATCGCACAGTCATATAACAATTTGTTATATAACACTGTTTTGCTATACGTATAGTGTGTAGACGCATTTTAACACTGGTTTCGACCATCTGACAATATGCTATATAACAATGTTTTCTAACTTCCTTTGATCTTTACCAACATTTGATGGGTGAAGCTGCGTTTACACTGTATAGCAAAACAGAGTGATATAACAAATTGTTATATAACATTCCTATATAACATAATTTTATAATTTGTTATGCAGTTGATACCTTCTGGACAATTCTGTAACAAGTTTGTCTTACATTTTGTATCTCATTATTAATAATTCCGTCACACTTGATGGATAACATATCACTTGCTATATAACACGAAAAATGTTATATAACATTGTATTATAGAACATTTTTCTTCCTGGTTTTCTAACAAGTTTTTTAACTTTACTACATAATGTGTTATGCTATATGTGTATAGTGTAGATGCAGCTTAAAGCGGTGTTAAGACATTTGCCATCTTCTCTATGCATGTTGTTCATCACCTCAGTCTGACTGAGATATTTCACCAGAAAGTATTCCTTATTACTGTTTCAAGCATTGCTTTTTTTACCATTATTACAAAATGGAATGGCGCAATGAAAACAGGTGTTATGAGACCCTACAGCTATGAACTTCAAAGATAAAAATTATAAACGTACTGCCCGAATTATATCCTCATCTTTTGACACCATTCTTAATAATGAGATGCAAAATGTTTTACAAACTTGTCACAATAGAGAAGATATGATCTATACTTGACTTCACCAGAGACCATACCTGCTATCGGACAAGTTTTCGTTCATTTCTGCGCAGGTTGTTTCTAATTGGCTGTATTTTCATGCCGCGTGCCCTCTACCAAAAAGTAAAACGCCAGCGAACCATTCAAAGCGTGTATAACGGGTGAATAGTTTCTAAATCATTGACGACATGTAATCATGAAATACACTCTTATGCTATGCATTCATATTAATGTTTCACTGTGTATATGAATGCAGTGGATAGTACAGTTGAAGTGGTGGCGCTCCCGGCGACTCCCAGCTCATTCGTATGCGCAAAACAGTTATAGACTCTGGCGAAGTCAAGTATAATAACAATTTACGAAAATATGATGTCCACCGACGAGCCAAGTCGGCTTCCACTAGGGGAAAAGGTAAAACTGTCAAACTGTATGTTAATTTCGCATAAATTTCAGTAATTTCCGAAACTAAGTGGTAGAAGGCCTTTCGCTTACACCACTTTTCCCCTAGTGGAAACCAAGTTTGCTCGTGAGGGTACGACAAAGATTCAAAAAATTTATAGTGTGGACTCGACTTTACAGTGCCTTAGTACTGTACTAGTATAGAATTAGTATTATACAGGGTGGGGCAATAACTATGTCCACTTTGAATATTGCCATTATTTGTAATAATATGAAAAAATGTTATATACAAAACTTACACGGTATAGAGGAGGGCATATTGTGACACAAACATTTTCTGCGTTGGTGAAGGCATAGAGGAGATTTCAAGGTTATCTCTATTTTTTTTAATGGAATACTATGTTTTTTCCGATGTTGAGACGACTTCAGCGAGCTATCATCGAAGGTCATGCAAGGTCAAATGTGGTAGTAAAATAAACTTTCTTAGATTACAGGAGATGCTCGAAGTGGTGTCACGTGCATGTCTTGTCGTTTCTGAACTTATTCTAGCACATGCTGTATTATTTCATAGGGGACTTTATTAGAAAATGTACCACTAAACGTTCGCGAAATGATGTGGTTACAGCACGACGGGTGTCCAGCACATTATCCTCGAAGAATAAGAGATGCACCGAACGAACTTTACCCAAATAAATGGATAGGACGTGGAGGATTAGTTTCTTGGCCACCTCGTTCTCCAGATATAACCCCGTTAGACTTTTTTCTCTGGGGAAAATTGAAAATTGTTGTTTATCAAGAAGTACCCATTACACCAGAAAATATGTAACAACGGATAATTGCTGCATGTGCTAGAATAAGTTCAGAAACGACAGGACATGTACGTGATGCAGCGATACGAAGATTGCAATTTTGCATTGACGCAAACGGTCACCACTTCGAGCATCTCGTGTAATCTAAGAAAGTTTATTTTACTACCAAATTTGACCTTGCATGACCTTCGACGATAGCTCGCTGAAGTCGTCTCAACACCAGATATCACATCGCGGTAAAAAAAACATACCATTCCATTAAAAAAGATAGAGATGACCTTGAAATCTCATCTATGCCTTCACCCACGCAGAAAATCTTTGTGTCACAATATGCTCCCCTCTATACCGTGTAAGTTTTGTATATAACATTTTTTCATATTATTACAAATAACGGCAATATTCAAAGTGGACATAGTCATTGCCCCACCCTGTATAGCAATAAAATTAAAATAAAATGATTCCTATCGAACTTATTTTGGCGAGGACAGTAAGCCGCACATTTTTACAATAAATATCTGTTTTAAGTAATTCAGTATTAATCATAAGAAAGGTATAAATGATACGGTCTGTAATGTTTGAACGATGCAATAAATATTTGCAGTGTTGTATATAATCTCAAATCGGTTTCGAAGTCGGATGCATGTGCTTCCATCGTTTTGTCATCCGACACCTTGCTCCGTGAAGTCAAAGAAATTCGAATATTATTCTCGCTGCTACGAAAAAGGAATCGCCGTTCCGACCGAAAGATTGAAAGAATGAAACACAACCCGCGGCGCAGCGCGACAAGAGGAAAGAAATGGAGGGCACGTGGGAAGCAGCCGAGTATGGAGACACATATAGAAATGAAGGCACGAGAGGGAAACGGGAGAAATCTCAGCTCGAAACGAACGAGATAAGAGAAATGTCCTGCTGCCCCGTTAACGCTCCGGAAAATATTATCTTTCCGTTGCGGAGAGATAGGAGCGTGTCGATGTAGCGATTTACCGACTTTAATAAACTTATGTGCTCCTTAGGTTCCTGTTTTCTACCCGCTTAACATCTCCACCAATGGACTACGTGAGGATTTTAACGAACTGTCTTAACAAAATATCTGTGCAAGTTGAATTCGATTTAGTACCAAGGATAAACAATGCAGGGCCATAGAAAATTTAACTCTCTATAACCCAAATTAATTTTTATGATTTTTATAGAATGAATTAATTTTTACGGAAAAACGTAATAACCATTCTAAACAAAAACAATATTTATATTGAAAATATAATTGCAATAAACACATTGTATTAAAAAACTATACAATTTATAATTATATAATATGTAAATCTTACGAGGTATGGAATAATTATTACATTAATAAATGACGATAATTAATTCCATAATTAATTCCATAACAGCTTGTTACGTCACGCGGCAGAAATTAATAGGAAAATTAACTTTCGTTGTAATTCGAAAGTTATTATAGAGTCGCGGAGAATTTTCAACTGTATTATTGTTAACGCCCGTTTGGTAGTCTTAAATTTCACGCATTGCAAACAAAAATTCCAATACAGATTTTACTTACCTATCTCAATCCGCAATATTACCCATAATCGAATTACAAAGTTTCTCAAGCCTTTGACAAAGTTTGCCCGCAACTTTGAAACGGCCGACATTGCCAGTTTAAACGCGTTATAATCCATTTATTACTATGAATTGGGACAACTACTTTTCATATCACTTGACAACGTAATGGTGAGAGCTTATTTTATTCTGACAGTATAACAGGTGAATAAAGAAAATTTTTTCTGATGTATTTACAGATATATAAAAATATAAAAAAATAATTATGCATGTAAAATAACTTACACATTAAAAAACTGAATATCTTGAATTTTTACATTTTTAAAAAGTTTTATTAATCAGTTTCTTACTGTAGTTCAAAAAGCACACTACACATTTCGTTAATTCCACACATGCTAAAGTTTACACAAGTTTTCGGTGCTTTTCTATTATTAGGTTGGTGCAAAAATAATTGCGGTTTTGAAGCATGAACTTTAAAATAATATATCTCGGGTTAAAATGAAATTATTTAATCAAAATAGGAACCATTCGATTCTATACATTTCTGCCAACGTAGTACAAGTTTGTTTATTCAAGTATTATAGAATTCTGGTGTTCTAGAGGCGATGAACTCTTCAACTGCGTTTTCGGCTGCTGCTTGAGCTTTGAAGTTCTTCTCACACAGAAAGATTTCCAGATGTTTGAATAAATGATAATCCGTCGGAGAAATGTCCGGCGAATACGGTGGATGAGGCAAGGTTTCGTATCCTAGTTCATTGAGTTTCTGTACGGTGATTCGTGAAACATGTGGTCGGGCGTTGTCATGCAATAGGATAGGTCCGTTTCGATTGACGAGTATTGGACATAAATCTTTCAACTTTTTATGCATTTTGTCGATTTCGTGGCTGTATTTCACTGATGTAACAGTTTCACCAGGTTTGAGAAAATTATAGTGGATAATCCCTCTTCTGGACCACCAAGTGACCATAACCTTTTTTCGATGAAGTTCTGGCTTCGGAAAATGTTTTGGTCTTTCATTTTGATCTAGCCACTGAGCAGAACGACGTCGATTATCATATAAAATCCATTTTTCATCGCATGTTATGATCCGATCAAGAAACGGATCGTTTGTGTTCCGTAACAGCAGAGCAGAGCAAATCTCAAACCGACGAAACCTCTGGCTTTCGTTCAGCTCATGCGGTACCCACTTATCAAGCTTTTTGCATTTACCGATTCCTGATAAATGGCGAATAACTGTTGAATGGTCAACATTTAGTACCTCTGCAACCTCACGAGACGTTTTACGTGGATCTGATTCGATAATGGCCTTTAATTCGTCATTGTCGATCAGAGAAGGACGTCCGCGACCCTCTGCGTCTTCAAGACTTTCGTCACCATTACGAAACTTCTGAAATCAATGTTGAGCCGTACGCTCAGTCACAGTTCCTTGGCCAAATGCCTGATTAATATTGGGAGCAGTTTCTGCAGCTTTTCGTCCCAGTTTATACTCATACAATATCATCGTTCGAATTTGTTTGTTTTCCATCTTCACTTTCCTGACCAAATACAGCTACAAATAAACAGGCAGAAACAAGTCACAGACATACATCGATAAAGCCAACTTCACGCTTTGACATGGTATACTACATGAACATAGTTACAAAACATCTCACTTCAGAGAGGTAACTCAAGTTTTTAATCGCGAAAACCGCAATTACTTTTTGCACCAACCTAATATTTACTTTCTAGAATAACTTATTACAGATAGATAGAAAATCATGACATCTGTGAAACACAGACGATGCTGTACCACAATCAATATATACTATAAATAAAAATGGTAAATATTAGCTACATACGGTATCAGTCGTATTCAAAAATAGACGGATCGACAAAAACAAAACAGAAAACAAACCCGATACAATCTTTCTTAAGAGCGGTCACAATTTATCTACATCGCACAACCTTTTAAAATGAACGACTGACGGCGAAAAACTACTTATCACCTTAAAAGTGCCAAGATTATTAACCTTTTAGGTACGGCTGGACTTACCGCGGTGCAGTACTGCTGTACGACTAGCTTTGCCACGGACTGCACGTAAACGACGTTAGTACCGTAAATGGTGATTTTAATCTGCAAAATTATATTACAATTATTTTATAATATAACTTTGCAGATTAACAAAATAATGCAGTACTAACGTAAACGGTGTTTGATTCTTTCCACTATGCATTCAGCCATGTTTACAAACAAATAATGTACAAGATTTACAATGTGAGATAAACAAGTAAGTCACTATAGTGTCATGTCGTTTAAAAGTGTCACTTGCAGTAATAGGAGGAAAGTACGAATAGGTTAACAACTTACCTAACGTTGACCCATTAATCTTTTTATTAATTTACAATTCTTTCGCTCGTCATCTGGACCACGAAATTGACTCCATACTGTAAGGAAAAAAGCAAATATCAGAAAAGTGACGACTTTGTCTTTAATTCCTGTACGCAAACGTTGTCTACAGACATTTGTCCGTAAATAGTACACAGATAGTCGTCAGATAATCTCAAACAGTCAAGTAACAGCTGATTTTAGTCTGCAAAATTATATTATAAAGTAGTTGCAAAAAGTAGCTCCTTAATTTTACAAAAACCGAAGAACTGAATATAACAAAATAACGGTAAAAGTTTGATCAATCCGTACCAATCCATATTGTTTTACTCAGAAAACGAAGATACATGCATTAAAAAATTGGCTATTTTTTAATACGTCTACTCTGAAGTGACATCAAATCTTTCTAACTGCAAAACTGAAGTTACTACCGCTCATAAATATGTGGACACTTGGCTTGTATGATGAAAATGTGATGTTTTGTAAAAATTACCTTGTCCATCGAGCTTCAATATCCCCCAAGGCATATTTATTGCAGACTTATAATAATTTCGTAATGTCTGATAACATTTACTATATATTCGATAAGTGTTCTGATACTCATCAGCGGGAGTCTATGTACCTTCCTGTACTTCACTGTTACTATTACTGTTCACAAAAAGAAGTAACATCAACCATTAAAATTACATTCTTAAATATCTTAGAGATTACAGAGTTCTATGTTCATATTACGCTATTGAAACAATTTTCATAGGTAAATAACGTTCTAATTAACCTTTTTGTTACTCAGGGGACTATAATCACTAAAAGTCGTGCGCGCACTCTGTATTAAAGGTGACTATAGTCACCCACTGCTGGGCGCCTCTTGTATTCTACAAGTGGTTACAGTCATCCGTAAAAATTTCGTATTGAATTTAATTTAATTTAATTAATTTACTTAATTACACGCATTAATTAAGCAGATGTTACACTGTTTGCGGCAAAGTGTAGACTCGCAACTCAAATCTCGCTTAAAACGGCAGCATACTAGCCGCCAACTCTGTCGTAGCAAAAGAATTTAGGATCCTCAGCGATTTAGGAACTTAAAGAAACTGCTGGAATAAAAAATGTCAGTGTAAATTTATGCCAGCGAGACGGTTCCTGTGGCTTCAAGTTACAGACGGTTCTATCGAAAACGCAGGGACAATCTCGTAAACAACTAAATTTCCCAGATCACGCTTTGACAGTTAGCAGTTTCGTCAATTGACCTGAGGAAATCTTGGCTACGCTAAGGACAAAACATGGCCAGTGTCTTTACTTCTAACCCCGACAGCCAAGGCAGGCGCGCCTAGGCGCTGAGGCTGTGGGGTTCTAACGGCGACGGTACCACCATTTTTTTTTTTTTTTTTTTTTTTTACGTGATGGAATGCATTTACGCACACCCCCGCCATCCTCCAGTGTGGGAGGAGTGGGGCGGGGGTAGTGTGGGACTCATCCCCAATAGGGCAAAGCCCAGGGGAAATACCCACAAAACCCTGACGGTGGTCAGGCTCGGCGCTATGCGGGGAGGCACCGGGATCTCTTGCGAACACAACCGGTACCTCCCCAGCGCCAGCTCCGCCAGTTAACGGCGGAGCGCCCTCTCTGTGGTGGGGGAAACGGGAGCTCCCCCCCCACCGGACCACGGGTGCCACAGTCCCGCGATCCCAACAGTCCCTTTTAGTCGCCTCTTACGACAGGCAGGGATTACCGTGGGCGTATTCTATTCCCCGCCACACAGGGAGGCGCGACGGTACCACCAGAGCCAACCTGCACGGGATCTGGCGAAAGTCAGCGGCTCTACCTCCTCGTGGTCCCCGCTGGACAGCGCTGCGCGGCGCTCAAATAAAAGCCGCCGACTAAACGAGCCGCTTCCCGAAAGAGTAGACCCAACTTGCTCAATGACTCTCACGGATGAGGGCAGAGTTTTTCCAAGCACCTACGCGTCTTAAAATTTAAAAAATGTGTGCTCCCTCGGACGTGGTTAGCGAGAAATGTATGAGCCAACAACATCTCGCAGGCAAAGTCGATAGGGCCGGGGGGGGGGGAATCCTCGAGGAGCGACGGGTCGCAGTGTGTGACCAGAATGCCAAACACAACTGTCTTTACTTCTATGATTCGTCCAACGAGACGAGACAGTAAAACTAACCAAAACATTCACATGCTAAGCCCATCTATTTTTTGCTAACTATCTCTATCCCTGGTCCACCTAAATGATCATCACCTTCCTTTGTTTATAGTTGCTGACTGGACTCGTTGGATGAGATAAAGAATCTTTACAGAACAGAATTCATTCAGCCTCAGAGGCGTTCAGATTAGTTCAACCACAGTACAGTACTGCTTCGTGCGGTGGGAATATTACTGCTGATTTTATATAGCAATAACGCTTCCGGGTTAACGATGCAGAACAATTTAATAGAAAACTGATTATTGTAGAAAATTCAGAGTTGGCAAGTACGAAATACAAAATTCGAAATGTTCTTAAATTTCAGTTCGGAAGTTCCTTCTAGTTTATTTGGAAGCCCATTTCGTTCACTATGATATTCCAGTCAATTGTGGTTGTAAGATCAGTTAGTTCACTTTGAAAGTCCAGTCAATTTCGTTTGGTGGTCTAGTTCATTCTACTTGAAAATGTACTTTAAACGTAGGTAACCTGAGGTCCTTCCAACAAGATGTTGTAGGGATGAATTCGGCCCGGTGGGGGGGGGGGGGGGGAAAAAGGAAAAATGATTTCCGAATTGTGCAACGCCTAGTGACCACGTGACTTCGCTTTCTCACATAGGTCACGCAGGATGTTGGACAAAGACAAATCAAGATTGCCTTTACGTTTCGTGCGGGCTTACGAAGCGTCTACTGCCATGAGAAAAGATACGACTGGTCTATCCTTCGTCGCTAAACAGAACTATTCTTTCCTAGTCATGCCTCAAGTCCTTAATGAAGGATTCTAAGTACATACCAAAGCACGCTAATAAATATCTGAAAATGGCAGGGTCCACCTTAACTGCACCGTAAACCCAGACAACTATCTACATATACCTGAAACAATTCTTTCTAGACAGTAGAATTAGATGATACAGAGATTAGCTAGCACAGGAACAACTACAACAACCATTTCACTGTATCATATTAATATCGTAAATACATGGTAACCCATTCGAAGTGATACACGCAGTTATCTCCTAAGCTATTTGTTGTAGCAAAAATGTTTCAAGCACAGCTTACTTGGTTTCAAGGGGGTGGCCATGTTATTGTGATCACAAATTTTATCTAGATGGATGTGCCTTCGAGATTTCAAGGTCACTTTGGTTTTTTAAATAACACCATATGTTTTTGAAGCACCAAAATATTATAGGTCGATAAATTCGTCATAACGGTCTACACTTTTATCTGAATAAAAACATATGGTTCTGTTTAAGAAAAGTAAAGGTCACTTTAATATCTCAAAGACACGTCCACCTAGATAATATTTGTGACCACTACAAGACGTTTCCCTTCAAACTAAGTAAAGTTTGGTTGAAACATTTTTTTCCTTACAAATAGTTTAGGAGATAATTGGGAGTATCACTTCAGAAAGGGTTACCCTGTATAGTCGATTAAACCATATGTAATGAATCAGTTTATTAGTCTTTGCAAAGAGAGAGAGAGAGAGAGAGAGAGAGAGAGAGAGAGAGAGAGAGAGAGAGAGAGAGAGAAAAAGAAATCGAGAATCAGGTAATAGAAAATGATCAAAAGTATGGGTTTTTCGCAGTAAGATGACTGTTTTAAGAGGCTGTGCGTCGTAAATAATATATGAAATACTGAAACGGAAGTGTATTTGCATTTAATCGTTACTCATTGTTTCAGATCCGAGTATCGCCACAGGACCAGTCTTTGTCGCTCCAGTTGGAAATCAAACGGCCGCGATTGGCCGCGAAGTCGTTTTTTCCTGCAGCGTTCGCAACATAGGGAAGTACAAGGTAATGGCGTAGAGAATGGGCAGTATAAAACCGAACGAAGTACTACGATTAAATTCTCGCGCGTTCGTAACGGTCGCACTATATTTCAAAATGGAGCCTGGACGATTCTCGAATATCCGCAGATGAGACACTGAGAAAACGTTATGTGTAATACTTAATAACTTGAGCTTTATTTAGTTTTCTATCATTGGAAGGGACATTTTATGGAATCTAATATTACAATATAAGATTTATATCCTGTTTTTATAGTTTCCTTGATTATATCGTCGGTTTGCTAGATTGTGACACAACTAATAAAGGTATTTCGGTACCCCAAAAACTTCACTTTTTTTCAACTAGTCAGGATCATACGGGATCTCAATGGAAGCATCTGGAAATTTTTCGTTTCTGCTAATATGTGGTTTTTCTCGGTGAAACCACCCTTTCAAAGTTAATGTGTGTTTTGTTATTTTTCTGTATACCTTGAAAGCTGTAGCAGCTATGAAGAAACTGTTACAACGAAAATTTAATGGTTTTTTACGCTGTATAAAAGTGTGCAATGAAATTGTATAAAATTTATGTAGTCATTAATCTATTTATTTAAAAAACAAATTTTTGTCCATTTCATTGCGCACTTTTATAGAGCATAAGAAACCATTAAAATTTCATTCTAACAGTTTTTCGTTATCTGCTATAATTTTCAAGATATACAGGAAAATAGGAAAACACATCTTAGCCTTTTATTTTTGTTTTTTTCACATCGCAAGAACAGAATATCAGCAAAAATGAAAAATTAGCCCGATACTTTTATTCAGGTGCCTTACAAAATTGAGTAGTTTAAAAATAATCACAATTTTCGGGATACCGATGTTCCCTTGTAAAAAAAGTAAATCATTCAGGAAATCGGTTTGAAATTCTTTCGTGATAGAAAATTATTAATTGCTCAAAGATGTAGCAATGAAACTTTTTTTGTTTTACAATTCAGATAATAGTGTTTAAATGTTGAATGTCTCTAATAAAATATTGGTTATGTTTATTGCTTACTATTAAAAAATAAACTAAATTGATAACTTTTATATATGATACTGAGATTACATTATTACAGGGGTTCTTCGTGAAAGTAAATCTCATTGTATTTTTAGATTGAATTTTCATTACTACTGGAGTTAATTTTTACAAATATCTCATAATTAACGAATTTGCGTCACTCTTCTAGCAAATCGACGATATCTAATTATAATATTTAAAGTATATTTTTTATTTTACGTTACATAACTTTTTACTTAAAAACTTTTTACATAAAAAGTTTCTGTTATATGCACAGAATATACGTTTTCTATTTGAAAATCGAAAAGCATACGCAAAGCAAGAGCAGTTTTACGTTTCAATCAAGCAACTGTTTCGATACGATTCCCATTTCCTTTCCATTTATCCGTATAAATATCTAGTTTCTCCAGTACGAACTCTTTGATATTTGTTTCGATCTATACGATGAAAACTAGTAAAGATTCATCTATAACTAAACTGAAAGTATTAAGTTATATAAACTTCAACCATTTGTGATAATTTCACACGATTTAGTTACAGTGGCCCGCATTAATATTCGCATACCTTGATACTAAAGAAGTTATTGCTGTATATCTTTTAATAGCAAATATATATCATTTAATAGCAAATCGTTGTTCTGTAATAAGT